AATCATGCCTGGGAATTACCCCACAAATCATTCATGTCTTGACTGCAGCATAGTAAATGCTGATAGGAGTAGTTGGAAGATTGTAGTGGGTAAGTAAACAAGTGTAAAAGCATACAGGGCTTTGTAGACTATGGCAAGGAGTTTGAATTTTATCACAAGGGCATATAAAGACACAGTTATAAGATATCTTTGTGGGCAACGAAGTATATTATGTATTGGGAAATGCAGTAACTATGTAAACCATTACAATAGTTTAAGTAAGTGTTAATAGAAACCTGAAGTAGGGTGATGGCAAGAAAATGGAGAAAATTAAGTGAAATTGAGCTACGTATTTGAGGTAAAATTTATAGGACTAATTGATAAAACTGATATGGAAGGAATAAGCTATTAGTTTCATTTGCCGAGATAAGGCTGATTTTAGAGGGAAGTGACTTTTGGTAGCAAAAAAAAAAAAACCTTGCCAAGTTTGAAAAATACCTATAAAACTTCTAAGGGGAGATGGTAAATTTGAGAGTTATTAATACAGAGATAGATATTTAAAGCCATGAACATGATTCACTTAAGGAGAGAGGTAAAGAGACTTGAGAAAGGGACCTCATATCATCAAGTCAGGTATTCTAGAGATTTATTTAAAAAGGAGGAGTCTACAAACAACTAAGAAGGAGTAATCAGAAAGCTAAAAGAAAAAGCATGGGAACTTCAGAGAATCTGGAAATCAGAGAATCTGAAAAAAAAAAAAGTTTCAAGAAAGAGAAATAATTAACTGGTATTAAATGCCATTGAGAATTTAAGAAAGACTGCACCAGGAAAAAAAAAAAATGTCTTTTGAATCTATCACCATAGAAAGCTTTAGTAGGAAGAGTTTTGACAGTTGAGTCAGAACAGTGGAAGTGAAACCCATATCTGAATGAGCTGAAAAGTTAATAGAAGGTGAAGAAAAAGAGATGGTATGAGGAGACAACCCTCAATGGTTTTTACTTTAAAAATGAACAGGAAAAATAGAATGGTAGCTAGAAGATAATGGGGTTTGAGGGAAGGTAGTAGTGCTTTCCATTGGTGGTTATGGTGGTTTATAACAGTGGCGGGAATGAGCCAGTAGGGAGAGGTTGATAAAGGAGAAAGTTAAGATAATTATAGAAGCAAAGGCAAAGGAGGTTAAAGCCAATGTACATGTGAATAATTTCACCCCTGCTGAAAGTGAGGGTGCTTTCTTCATTGTATCAGGGTAAAAGAAGAGGGTGCATGAACAGATAGACAGGTTTATTAATTTGGTTATGGAAAGATGAGAGCACTTTCATCATTTGGTTTCTATTTTTACAGTAACAAATGAAACAAATTATGCAATCATGAAACAAAATATGTATATTATGTGCTTCACGTCCCAGTGAATGTTGAGGAGTGTGACAAAAATACTTTGCTGTATTTTCTTCACTCATTACTAAATGATGTGGCTATTTGAACACTGTGCTTTTGATGTGAATTAAGAAGATAAGATAAGCTTCTTGTATTCCATAGTAAATATAATGAAAAAGTAATAGCAACTAACATATGGCTTTTACTCTTTGTAAGGCATTGTTCTAATACTTGTATATCATACTTTGTCATTTTATGTTTTATTAACTAATTTAATTCTATAAGAACCCTATAAATTGGATATTATTATATCCATCTTACAGTGAGCACACTGAAGGCCAGAGAATTAAACAACATGCCTACACCAATCACATAGTAAGTAGTAGAACTAGCATTCAAATCCAGGCATGCTATCTTTAAATTTTAGACTTTTACCAATATACAAGGATATCGATCTTGAGCAACAGATTCACTCTTCTACTTGTCTACTCATACATCCAACAAATAATTTATTGGCATCTACTATTTAGTTAATTCTACTACCTACTCACTCCTAGCCTCTCTCCCACCCACCTCCCTCCCCTCTGCCCCCCAAAAAAGAAAAAGAAAACCGACTCTCTGCAAAATAATAGACTGGGTACAAGGAATGAAGGATCAAAGAAAATTTAGACAAGTTCTTTAGAATCTTATGTATAGCTTGCTACAATGGCTAAGAATTACTACATAGAGCTTTAATATATATGGAATGTTATGAATTCTGATTGATAAAAATATATATCAATTCCTGTTTAAAGAACAAAGAAAGATGACAAGTGAAAATTCTTTGAAGAATAGGTAGAATTTGAACATATGTAGATAGAGAAAATAACGTACTGCACAAAACATAAAATACATAAAATAAACAAAGGCCCAAAGATGGGAAGGTGTGGTGCATGTGTAGGGATAAAAATGAAGCTCTTTACCTGGGATCCCAGGCTTAGAGGTCAAACTATCCTTCATCCAGTAGGAGGATGACCATGAATGTTTTGTTTTTCTTTATATGGGTGGAAGGCGTGGCATGAAGGAATATAAATCTTATCACAATGAGTGATGTCTTGAAGCACTGATTCTGGAAGCAAAGAAGAAAATTGGGAGACTCTTTACAGTGCTAATGTTTATTGTGTTCAACCAACAAATCAGAGACATCTGAATCATTAGCCACAAAATAAGTGTAGTTAGTATATACAAAAAAAGTACTGTTTCTGTCTTCAAAGAGCCTCAAGTTTCACTGAAAAGGCCAGACTTATTTACATTAAACTATTAAGAAGCAAACATGTATTGATTACTGTGAAATTATGATTTATAACAAAAATATATTTGGTCTTTTCCCCCAGTTCTGGCACTGAGCCCCTAAAATCCTTGGAATTTTTTAAGTGATGAGAGCAGAACAACAAAGATGTCTTTTGTTGTGTTAGTGAGGTAACTTTTGGACCATGCCTAAGGATAGGAACTAGTTGCCAAGGAACCCAACCATGCGATTAGAGTGAAGATTTCACTCTAACCTCTGGGGAGGATATAGGGGCTAGAGATTGAGTTCAGTCACCAATGGACAATGATTTATTTAATTGTGCCTATGTAATGAAGCCTCCATAAAAAAACGAAAGGACTGAGTTCGGAGGGCTTCCAGGTTGGTGAACACCTGGAGATTTGGGGGAAAGTGATGCACTTGAGAGAGCATGGAAGCTTTTTATTCTTTCCCTGTACCTTGCCCTATGCATCCCTTCCTTGTGGCTATTTCTGAGTTACATCCTTTTATAGTAAACCAGCAGTCTAGTAAATAAAATGTCTCTCTGAGTTCTGCGAGCCACTCTAGCAAATTAATTGAACCCAAGAAGGGGGTTGGTGGAACTTGCAGTCTATACCTGATTTGTCAGAAGCACAGGTGATAACCTGGACTTGCAATTGATGTCTGAAGCAGGGTGCACAGTCTTCTAGGACTGAGCCCTTAACCTGTGGGATCTGACCCTATCTCAAAGTAGGTAATATCAGAATTTTGTTGAATCATAGGACACCCAGCTGGTGTCAGAGCATTACATGGTGGTATGGGAAAACCCTCCCACCACCATACAAATTGGAATTGGTGACAAGAACTTTTAGTAACTTACTAGTTTTATGTTTTCTATTCTTAATCTTTTATCCTTGGTCAGCTTTTCTGTGTCAAAGTTTACACATAAAATCAAATTACAAAAACAGTAATGTATCTAGGTAGTTGCCTGAGACCACACCCTTTTTAATCTAGACCTGAAACTCTAGCTTTTGTCCTTCTGTATCTCTGGTGGCTTGCTTTGGACCCAAACTCATAATAGTTATTTCTGGACACTGCCTTTGTATCCTGATGGATTACCATTTTTACTTACTAGATTTGATTTTCTGCTTAGTTCTAGACACTTTTCTGGTGTTGACATCCTTGAGGTCTCTAGTAGAAAATCATGCCTAGGATTTTTCACTATAGGCCACAGGAATGTCAACATCAGAAATTCTCTTTTTTTCCCTACTGCCTGCCTAGACCACAGGCCCTGCCCTTCTTCATGGCCATCTTAACTTGTATAAAGTCTCAGCTGTTAGATTTGACATTTTAACATATGAAGACCTTAAGAGAATCTTCTATTAGAAAAGATAAAATGTAAACCAGAGTTATCAGGGATGTAATTTTAATAGATAGAGGGAATTAGTCGAACATGGGAAGCATCTTTTCCTAAGATTAATGATTATGACTTTTTTAACCTGTATTTGCCACCTGATCCTAAGTTCGTCAGTAAGTTTGTCAGAAAATAAATATATGAGCAACAATGTGATTCAAGTTATTATTAGTTAGGTTGGCTGTGATAAGAAAAATTGACCTAGAAATATATATTTACTCAAACATAATTTTCATTTGTTTCTGGCTTCCATAAGAGTCAGTTAAATAATCTTGATCAGTGAGTAGCTTTTCAAGCAGTGATTCAGGGGACCAAGGTCCTCCCACCTTGTGAATCTACCATATTCTAGGGCCTTATCCTCATCTCTGTGCAGTAGGTCAGAAAAAGAAAGAATATTCATAAGGGGCACATTTGTTTCTTAATAGCTTTAGACCAGAAATTACATGTATCACTTCTGCCCACTCTCTGCTAGAGAGGACTTAGTCTCATGGCCACACATAATAGCAAAAGAGGCTGAGAAATTTGTTTTATTTGTGTGTCCAGTGAAGGGAAAAACAATGATGGCATCTATTAATTGGCAGCTATTACCAAAGTTAAGAAAAACAAGATAAAACATTACAAAGTCCTTTGCAAATATAACTATATGTAAAAATAATATGTATGAATAAGTATAAGATAAAATACTGCTATTGAATTGGTGCAGGTTAAATAACTGAGAGATATAATGCAGGAAATATGGGAATCAGTGCATTTCTGTGTTAAAATGTTTCAATAGTGATTTTTCTTTCCAAAATCACTATTAAATCACAAATTGAAAAGGAACATCAGTTGGGAAAAATGCTTCTTAATGTAGGTAAATAACAGGTTCTTGTGAACTTTGTTAATGTAGCTTTCAAAACAAATGGGACAGAAAATAAACTGTGCTTAACACTTGTATAATGTATTATATTTGTCTACTGTGCAATGTAGATCAGAAGTCTGAAAATGAAACTGAAGATGAAGAATTGGATGCCAGTTTTAGGATATCAGTGTTCAAACTGCCCATTCATCCTTCAGATTCGTCGAAGTATGCTACGGTATTGAAAGAGAAAGAACAAGATTATTTTTCTACATATGCGCAGCCATTTTCTACCACTCATCAAAAAAAAGTAATTAAAAAAAAAGACAAGCTTTTGGAGAAGAATATAAGAAAGTTTCTTACAACACAAAAAACTGGTATAAAACTCCAAACACTTTATGATATTGATAAATATTATTCAGAACAAAAGAAGCAGGAAAGTCATGAAAAAAAAGTAATGGCTGTTACCATGGCAAAAGATGCCCAAGAAAGAGTTAGTTTAACTGTTCAAGAATCTTCAAGTAAGAAAAAATACACTGCACAAAGACGAACGGTAAAAGATAATTTCACAATTCAGTATGGCTTACAACAACTTTGGCAGGACAAATTCAACTACCTTGAAAAAGTTAGAGAGAGGAGAGCTTTGTTTCTAGAAGAAAAAAAACAAAAGGCTGAGGAACGTTTATTAATTCAAAACTTAAATAATGAGCGTGCTATTTTGGCCAAAGGTATAATTAAAATGGACAGACTGAAGAAGCAAGAGGATGTCTTAAGAGAGAAAAGTCTGGTTGTTCGGCAAAAACTGGAAAATGAAAAATATCTAAAGGAATTACGTAAACACATGAAGGGTTTTAGGTAGGTACAATTTTGATATAAGCTTTTAAGTCAATGTGTTTTGAACATTCATACTAAATGTTGAGATCTAATAAATACTTTATAACATGGTATAATATACTTTGGAAAATAGAAACAACAAAAAAGGAGAAATGTATCCTAACCTATTACCAAAAATGAGACAATAGAACAATTCTGTCTTCCCTTAACCCCACCCTTATCCAATAAAATATGCTTTATTAATGGTTGTTATTATAAATGGGCATCATTATTGGCCTCCTACCCAGCGCTAGGAACTTCAGTCTTTTACACTCAGTCTCTCTCATTGCGATGATCTAACATGTTTCCCTATTCATTTTACTTCTAAAAGGAGTCGTCTTTTTCAATCCCACTTCTCTTATACTACTTCAGACCCTCATAATTCCTCCAAAGTATTCATTCTCCTTTCAGTTGAGGCCTCTATCTCCATTCCCCATCCTTTCTTCACCCATATCTGTTCTCCGGTCTATAAACTTCAACCATCTTTTAAAATTATATTCTGATTATATAATTTCCTACACAAATGTGTTTATACCTTGCAATTGCTTTCAAAATAAAATCTAATTTACTCTGAGTGGCATTTCAGACATCATGCTCCATTCCCATCTATCTAGACTCTTCTTTTATATTTTATGCTATAGTCTCTTCCCTCTTCCCTTAGCCTCATTCTTTGCTCCAGACAGACTAAATTATTCATCACTTCATACCCAACTTTGTACTTTCTTATCTCTGTGACCTTACTGATACTGTCCCCTTTTTCCTCAATATGCACTCTGAAAAGACACTATAAGCCCACAATGTTACTGTTGTTGACATAGTATGCAATATAAGCCTCTGTGTTATTGTACAAATTTTACTTTAAAGTGTTCAAACTGGTGAGAGGGTAGTACCCACATGTGAAGAAGAAGACACTCTTTTCTGCAGGGAGACACACACTAGTGGATGATGTTTGGCTGAGTACGACTGTTTCATTCCTCTCTGCTCCCATCATGCAGTGCATGAACTGTACAACTACTGACAAAATTCATCCTTTTTTTTTCCAACTAGTTGAAACGGTACATTCACTATTAATCTCTCCCTAACTGCTTCTCCAGTCTGTTAGTCCTTTTCATTTGGCAACATTCCTATAGCAGTTTTTTAAAATTTCTATTGTAACAATTATCATACGAAGGCCTATATCAGGTGAACTTGTGAAGTCCTTTGTACGATAATTTGGTCCGTCTTTTCACTTCAGTGCCTAGTACAGCACTTAATTTCCAAAATCTATTTAATAATTATCTATTGAAGAAACATCCCAGTTATTAAATTAGTAATGGTTATATATAAGTCCATTTGGGTCACATAATAGCCTCTGTTATGAGCAAGTGTTTTTATGTATTTGTACTCAATATTGAAGCCATTGCAGTGAGAAACAATGCATTTTTTCTAAATAGTTGTATAATGAAGGTATTCAAAATTATTAAATGTATACTAGAAATATAATTAACCAAGATATGAATATAGCCTTAGTAGTCATCAGAATAGGTATCTTAAAACAAGTGCTTATTTCATGGGAGTAAGTTTGTTTGGCACATTCTTTTTCTGTCTCTCTTTGATCACTGGCATTTCTACTAAGAGGTACTTACCTAGAGTTCAAATCGTTCAAATGGTAATTCACTTCCAACTATTGAATATGCCAGTTGGGGGAACAGTTCATTTGGGTCCAAGAAACTGAAAATCTAGGTAGAGAGATGTTATCAAGGAATAAGAGTGCCAGAGTGAAATAATAGCACAAGCAATAGTACAAGAGCTATCAAGGTACGAAATTAAAGTTTAAATAAATAGGTGAGAGTAATCTAGGAAACCTTCAAAGAGAAAGCTTAACATCAAAGTGTTCATTCATTTTAATTCTCCTCTATACCCCCGTACAAAAATTAATAAGATATTCTGATCCTCTAAGAACTGACAACCCCCTGGCAAATAAAAGCATGTATTTGAATTACTACAAAGAGTAGAGTAGGAAACTTAAAATTGTTGATTAGAATTTGGAAAAGCAGAAATATCAAGGGAGAGCATTTTTGGTGGAGAGAGTGAGCAAAATTCAGAATAAGTAATATAGAGGAGAAGAAGGTGATAGTGAATATTATTCTACCTATTGCAGAAGGTTTTTGTAAGAGAAAATTTGAAGGTCGATGGCTGAAGAAACATTAAATTGGACTAGAAAGGGCCTCTAAATCTCAGTGTACAGTTTCATGGTAAAGACCATTAGAAATCCTACCAGGAAAAAAAAATCATTGCATTTTAAACATACATTTTAGTCTATAGCTGTGCCACCGTGAACGCGCCCGGCCCAATCCGGTCTGATCTTGGAAACTAAGCGGGGTCGGGCCTAGTTAGTACTTGGATGGGAGACCACCTAGGAAGACCAGGTGCGATAGGTATAAAAAATTGTAAAAAATAAAGATAAAAAAATAAAAGTGTTCTCATAAATAAGAAACAAACAAACACATTTTACCACAGAACCTTCTTTTTAAGAAATAGAACACTAATCCTCAGAACATACATTGGACAAAACTGTCTCAAACAAATGCAAATATTTTAAAATTGTTCCATGATAAAGATTTTTTTTTAATTTTAAATCAAAAAGAGGTTCTGAAAATAAGTACTGATTGAAATATTTTAACCTACATTTAGTAAATTTAAATTTCCTTTGTTGTCAAAGGCTTTTTTTATGAGGTATAATTGACATATGACAAATTAGTTTCAGGTATACAACATAATGTTTTGATATTTGTACATATTGCAAAATGATCACCATATTAGGTCTAGCTAACATTCGTAACAATATATAGTTACAATTTTTTTCTTGTGATAATAACTTTTAAGATTTATTCTCTCAGCAACTTTCAAATATGCAATACAGTATTAACTGTAGTCACTATGGGACTTATTTATTTTATAACTGAAAGTTTGTACCTTTTAACCCCCTTTACCTATTACACCCACTTCCCCTTATATCTCTGGTGACCATCAATTTGTTCTGTATCTATGAGCTTGCATTTTTCTTAGTTGTTTGTTTGTTTTAGATTCCGCGTATAATTGGAGTCATACAGTATTTGTCTTACTCTCTCTGATTTATTTCACTTCACATAACGCCATAAAGTACCATTCATGTTTTAGCAAGTAGTAATATTTCCTTTTTCTTATAGTTGAATAATATTCCATTGTGTACATACATATATATCTACACACATACATAATATCTATTTTACATATGTATACACAGACACATATACACATACATACACACAATACCACGTTTTGCACAAAGGATATTTTTTAAGAACATAAAACCATGACTCATATAAATATAAATGAACATGACAAAGATTTTATTTAACTCATTGATTAATAAGGGAACTAATAAGATGTTACAGTCAGCTCAAATGAGAATTCTAAGAGCATGCATATAAATAGGCAATCAGGAATG